GCGGGAAAGGGGGGCTTCGAAGACATCCCGCAGGGCATGAAAAAAGACTTTTTAAGGCAATGGAGGCCAGGTCCGTTTTAACGTTCAACGGCCAGGGAGATTCAGCGCAGGAAGTCCTTGACTTACACCCACAACTCAGCCCGAGCAGGGGGGTGGACTAGATGACCTCTAAGGTCCCTTCCAACATCATCATCATCATTATCATCATCATCATCATTATTACATCTCTGTTGCTAAGCAAGACAGCTGTTAAGGGGGTTTTTGCCTCATTTTACGACCTTTCTTGGCACAGTTCTTAAGTGAGTCCCTGCAGTTGTTAAGTTGGTGACACGGCTGTTAAAGTGAATCTGGCTTTCCCATTGGCTTGGCTTGTCAGAAGGTGAATCACATCACACACACACACACACACACACACACACACATACACAGAGGGGCGCTGCAACCGTCATTAAGTACATGCCAGTTGCCAACTGTCTTTGAGTTTTGATCACATGGCCCTGGGGCTGCTGCCAGGGGCCTGAAGGGCGAAAAACTGTCTTTTTTTTTTTCAGGGCCACTGTTAACTTCAAGTCACTAAAGGGATGGTTGTTGACGACCACCCAGAGTACAATTTTTCAGGTCCCAGCAAATTCCGGACGACGGTGCGGGTCATTTAAAGGCGGCGTCCCTTCCAACGAACACGCCAGGGCTCTTATTTCCTGGGAAAGCAAAACTGTTCACAGCACCCGCCACCGACAATCTGGGGTGGTAATAATAATAATAATAATAATAATAATAATAATAATAAGTTGGAAAGGACCTTGGAGGTCATCTAGTCCAACCCCCTGCTCAGGCAGGAAACCCTATAGTACCATTTCGGACAAATGGCTGTCCAGTCTCTTCTTAAAAACTTCCAGTGTTGGAGCATTCACAGCTTCTGGTGGCAAGTCGTTCCACTGGTTAATTGTTCTCACTGTCAGGAAGTTTCTCCTTAGTTCTAGGTTGCTTCTCTCCTTGCTGAGTTTCCATCCGTTGCTTCTTGTCCTGCCTTCAGGCGCCTTGGAGAATAGCTTGACTCCCTCTTCTTTGGGGCAGCCCCTGAGATACTGGAACACTGCTATCATGTCCCCCCTCGTCCTTCTCTTCATTAAACTGGACATACCCAATTCCAGCCACGGTCCTTCATATGCTTTAGCCTCCAGTCCCCTGATCATCTTCGTTGCTCTTCTCTGCACTCTTTCTAGAGTCTCAACATCTTTTTTACATCATGGTGACCAAAACTGGATGCAGTATTCCAAGTGTGGCCTTACCAAGGCCTTGTAAAGTGGTATTAACACTTCACGTGATGGAAGACACAGCTGGCGCCCTCTCCAGATGTTGTTGCAAATTCCCAGGACATCAGTCAGGTCTGCTTTCCAGAAAGTCACAGTCTGCCCGGCTTCAATTTAGAAGCGGGAAGAAGGCCAGGAAGCCAAAATGCCATTTTAATCCCGGCAATCTTCTCGGAGGTTGCCGAACGAAGAGCAGGGATGCGCTGGGCTCATCCCGAGGGTCTTCCTGGCCCCCGAAGCCTCCCAGACAACCGCCCCCCCGCCCCCTTACCTCTCCCCTCCAATCTGGGCCTCCTCAAAGAGCGCACAGCGTCCAAGGACGTCGTCCGTGAGGGCGTTTGCGCTGGACTGGATGGATCCTCCGCAGGCCTGCCAGGAGAAAGAGCCCTTTTAGCGCGAAGTCTACGCAGCCACAAGTCGTTCAGAAGCCCACCTGAGATCCCACAGCTAGGAGGGGGGCTCTTGGTTTTTTTTAACACTCCCACCTCAAGCAAGAGAAGAAAATATTGGTAGTCCAGGGTTGAATGGTGGTGGAGGGAGGGTCCTTAGTGCTCTCTGGGTTTGATGGTTTTCCGGCAGACGTTTCAGGACCCCACTAGGGAACATCATCAGTGATAGAAGGGAGGGGGGTTTATGGAGAGGAGGAGGAGGAGGAGGAGGANAAGAAGAAGAAGAAGAAGAAGAAGAAGAAGAAGAAGAAGAAGAAGAAGAAGAAGAAGAAGAAGAAGAAGAAGAAGAAGAAGAAGAATGTAGTCTGCTTCAGGTGTGGAGCAAGGTCTGAAGTTCACCAAAGGACCCTTCCAGGAATTTCCAAACAGTGCTAGAAGGGAGTGAGGTTTAGGTTTAGGAGGAGGAGAAGGAGGAGGAGGACGATGATGACGACTGTGGGGTCCTGGGTGCTCTCTGAGCTTGGTTGTTTTCTTACAGACGTTTCATCACCCAACTAGGGAACATCATCAGTGCTAGAATGAAACATCTGCGAGAAAACAAGCTATCTCAAGAGTCCACCAAGGCCTCCAGTCGTCCTCCTCTTCTTCCTTCTTCCTGGACCACTAGTGGGGACCCCTGTGGGAAAGCCCTTTGTTCTGCACAACTACACTGTGTGTCAACGGAGAGTCTGTTCCCCCCTCCCTCCGATTCCGAGTCGGTCATTTTCCCGTCGGTCTACGGGGAACCCCGGATGTCCAGAAGAGAAGGACCCATACCATCATGGTCCTCTTCAGATCCTCTTCGGGGACCCGGCCAGCGCAGAACATGTCCCGGTCTGCGAAGTACTGAGTAGCCACGTCTCCGATGGGCAGTTTGGACAGGATAACTTTGGCCCCGGATTTGTGGAGCTTATCCAGCTTGTCGTATAAAATGTTCCACTCGGCGTCCACGATGGCCTGGTAGTCCTGTAGAGGCAGATCCAAAAGGCTGGGATTATCTAACCACAAGACAACGGATCATGGTTTTGGCGCGCGTAGCAGACCAGATTTTGACGGGTTGAAAAGACGGAAGTGGGTTATTTCAAATAACACATACAATAATAGAGGGAGATCCATGTGACGATCTAAAAGCACTGATATAGAAGCCTAGTTGGCAAAGAAAGAAAGCCCGAATAAGGTTGAGGGAAATTGGGGGTTTGACTTATAAGAGGGGATTTTATATTATTAATTAGAGGGTTTAAAGGGAGAAGCTGAGATAAGGGGAATTCTGGTCATTAGATTTAAAACACTTGGAAATTAGTTGAAAATAAGGACTGTATCTCTTTAATATTTTAAAATTTGACCTAAAAGGAAAAAGAAAATTATTATGAATATGTTTGATTTATTGATTAACCCAGGTAATATACATAATGGTTTTGATTTGTTAAAGGGGATATTGTATTATTTAGTAGATGATTTAATATGGGGGGAAATAGATAACTCTTAGGAAATAGAACGAGATTACATTCAAATAGATAAAATGTGTATTTTGGATATCAAATTTTGTTATGAATTGAGACAAGGGAAATCATGGTTACCTAAAGCCCTCAAATCACAAATATCAAAGGTGAAATGGGAATATTGACGAGAAACTAAAAATTGGGTAAAAATTAATAACAGGATATGGATTGCTTATGAAGATTGAATGTAATTAAGATACGTATAAGCTATAAATTTGTTGACAAATGTAATAATGACGATTTCACTGAGTTGACATAATAAGAACTGTACTAACTTGAATACGAGACAGTAAATGTTAAGGGAAAAAGAGAAGAAATATCTGATGTTGTAACTTGAGATTTGCACTGAAGATTTTGTTATCGAACCATTGACTAACCCAGTCACCACGTTGCTTTTTAAATACTTAAATGTAAAATTGGAAAATTAATAAAATATTATTTAAAAAAAGAAGTAAGTGGGGATAATTGATGTGGCGATAGCAAGCGCTACAGGCAGTCCTTGACTTAACAATCATTCATTTAGTGACCGTTCAGTTACGACAGCGGTGAAAAAGGTGATTTATCACCGTTTTTCATCCTCACGACCGTCGGATCATCCCCAGGGTCTTGTGATTTACCTTTGGACGCTTGGAAACTGACTTGTATTTATGACAGTTGCACTGTCCCGGGGTCATGTGATCCCCTTCAACGCCGTACAATGGGGCAAAACTCACTGAACGAATGTCTCGCTTAACGACAGAAAGTTTGGGCTCAATTGTGGTCGTTAAGTCGAGGACTACCAGTACAGTAATAATAATAATGAGGAGGAGGAGGAGGAGGAGGAGGGCGTTTTCCTAGAGCACCCCTCCTCCTTTTGGGGTGGCCTTGTGGCCTTCAGCTGCTGGACCAGTATTTCGTTTCTTAAAAGAAATGTTTAAGTGATGGGAGTTGGGCCTTAGAACAATAGGGAACAAGCTGGAATTAAGGAGGAAGTTCCTAACAGTGAGGACAATTAACCAGTGGAACAGCTTGCCACCAGAAATCCTGGGCGCTCCATCACTGGAGGTTTTTAAGACAGTCACTTGTCTGAGAAGGTATAGGTCAGGGGTGGGCAACCTTGGCTCTTTTATGACTCGTGGACTTCAACTCCCAGGCTTGGTGCTTGGTGCTGTCTGGCTCAGGAATTCTGGGAGTCGAAGTCCACGAGTCATAAAAGAGCCAAGGTTGCTTACCCCTGGTATAGGTTCTCCTGCTTGAGCAGGGGGCTGGACTAGAAGACCTCCAAGGTCCCTTCCAGCTATGCTCTATTCTATTATAGATCTATTCTATTCTATTCTATTTTCCTTTATTCTATTCCTATTCTATTCTATCTTTTCATATTCTATTCTATTCTATTTTCCAATATTTATTCTATTCTATTCTTATTTCTATTCTATTCTTATTTCTATTCTATTCTTATTTCTATTCTATTCTTATTTCTATTCTATTCTATTCTATATTCTACTCTACTCTACTCTACTTTCCAATATTTACTCTATTCTATTCTATTCTATTCTATTCTATTCTATTCTATTCTATTATTCTATTCTATTCTATTCTATTCTATTCTATTCTATTCTTCATTCTACTCTACTCTATTCTATTCCCAATTTTACCCATTTTAAGATGTGTGGACTTCAACTCCCATGCTGGCTGAGGAATTCTGGGGGATGAAGCCCACACATCTTAAAATGGTTACGCTGAGGAACCCTGGCTTAGGTACAACAGCCGTGTCCAGCCAAGATGTCCATCAACACAAAGCCTCCGAGACTCTCAGCCCACACCCCCTTTCTAACCCCTGCCCTATCTGCACAGCTTCCTCTGTCCAACCCCTCCACCCCCACCCCCAAGGAAGAGACCAGGCCTCACCGCCACATTCTGGACTCGGATTTCCGCGTTGTCCTTCTCGGCTTTCAGCTCCAACTCAATGTTCAGCAGGGCGATCTTGGGCGACTCGTACTTTTTGGGCTGCATCTCGAACCCGGCGTAGGAAAAGGTTTTCTTGAAGGCCACTCCAGCCACCAGCTGGGAATCCTGCGGAAAGACCAAATTGCTTAGGGGGGTGGGGGAGCTTCCCAAAACATCTGGCTAAGTCCTGCAATTCGCAAGACTCTAGAGCTTAACCCTTCCAAACAGCGTTTTCCCAACTTTTGAGAGGAGGGGGTGAGACTTCCAAGTCCCAGAATCCTCGGGGAGCGCGACGCTGGCTGGGGAATTCTGGGAGTTGAAGTCCAGAAGTCCTAAAGGGGCCCTAGCTCACCACCTAGACAGAAGCTTGGCCCGAATTTTGGGCGGCTTCGTTTATTGAACACATCAAGAAACGCCTGGGACCATCCCGGACCGTCCCCCACTCCGGAAGCTCACCTCCAACGCTCCGCCTTGCACCTTCTTGATGCCGATCATTTTGATCTGCAGCAGCTCATCCAGCATCATGACCGCGTCCACCACCATCTTGGCGAAGAACTCCTTTTGCTGGGAAATCAGCTTGGAGCTCAAAGCGGTGCTGGCGCACTTCTCCAGCAGGCCCATCAGCTCTCTGTTGGGGGGGGGAGAGATGATGAGAAGGGAGAAAAAAAAGGAAGAGGGACGCTATGCATGGTTTATGACTTGTGGACTTCGACTCCCAGAATTCCTCAGCCAGGCACGCTGGCTGAGGAATTCTGGGAGTTGAAGTCCACTCCTCTTAAAGTCTATATCAGGGGTCTTCAAACTTGGCCCTTTGATGACTTGTGGACTTCAACTCCCAGAATCCCTCAGCCAGCGTGCTTGGCTGAGGAATTCTGGGAGTTGAAGTCCACTCCTCTTAAAGTCTATATCAGGGTCTCCCAACTTGGCCCTTATATGACTCGTGGACTTCAACTCCCAGAATCCCTCAGCCAGTGTGCTTGGCTGAGGAATTCTGGGAGTTGAAGTCCACTCCTCTTAAGGTCTACAGCAGGGGTCTTCCAACTTGGCTCTTTGATGACTTGTGGACTTCAATTCCCAGAATTCCTCAGCCAGCGTGCCTGGCTGAGGAATTCTGGGAGTTGAAGTCCACTCCTCTTAAAGTCTACATCAGGGGTCTTCCAACTTGGCCCTTGTATGACTCGTGGACTTCAACTCCCAGAATTCCTCAGCCAGGCACGCTGGCTGAGGAATTCTGGGAGTTGAAGTCCACGAGTCATAAAGTAGCCAAGCTTGGGGACCCCTGCTTTAGGCCCGCCCGGGCTGAGGCAGCTCTAATTCTCAATTACAGCTAGTCCTCGACATACGACCACAACAGAACCCCACATTCACGTCGCTAAGCGAGACCTTTGCTCCGCCAGCTCTGCTCCATTTGGCCACCTTTCTCGCCACGCTGCATCCCCGCCGTTGTTCAGTTAGGTGACGCGGTGGTCGATCCGGTTTATCCCGTGGATAAATATTTATGGGATGTCAGAACAGGCAGATGATGCAAAGCATACATCCTCAGAGGCAAAGGAGCTCTGGCTAATTTAGGGAATGGAGTTGGGGTTACTTCTGGCCCCCGTTTTCCTTCAGACTCCAAAAGGGAGGAATGAGTAATAGGGCAACCATCGAGGAGAGAAATCTCTCCCGGAAATCCAGAGTACGGATCAGCTTGGGGAAGGCCAGATTTAAAAATATTCCCCCCCCCGCCAAGGATTCTTCTAGTAAGAGAATAGACTATGGAATTCTCTCTCTCTGGGTGTCAACTGCATTTCATCCATCCCGCTCGATCGAGAATTGATTTTTTCCCCACAAACAGAATCACAAAAGAGGCCGAGCCCCTTACCCCTGGTCTGTCTTCTTGATTGTGACGGCAATCTTCCTGATCTTATCCACTGCCTGCCGAAGGAAAAGAAGAAAGGGTCAATCCATCCTCCAAAGCGCCCGAAGACAGAAGCAACGGATGGAAGCTCATCAAGGAGAGAAGCAACCTAGAACTAAGGAGAAACTTCCTGACAGTGAGGACAATTAACCAGTGGAACTACCTGCCTCCAGAAGCGGTGAATGCTCCAACACTGGAAGTCTTTAAGAAGAGACTGGACAGCCATTTATCTGAAATGGGTATAGGGTTTCCTGCCTGAGCAGGGGGTTGGACTAGATGACCTCCGAGGTCCCGTCCAACATTATTATTACTATATTATTATTATTATTATTATTATTATTATTATTATTATTATTAATAATAATAATAATAATAATAATAATAATAATAATAAATTTCCCTTTTCTCCCAGTACACAACAGGTAGAATTGTGGAACCACAAGTCGCAAGGTGTGGCAGCAGCCAAAAAAGTAGACACAGCCCTAGGCTGCATCGACAGAGGGATAGACTCAAGATTATATGAACTCTTAGTACTGCTTTATAGGGCCTGGGTAAGAGCAAATGGGGAATCCTGCATCCAGTTTTGGTCACCACAATGTAAAAAAGATGTTGAGACTCTAGAAAGAGAGCAGAGAAGAGCAGCAAAGATGACTAGGAGACTGGAGGCTAAAACATACAAGGAATGGTTGCTGGAATTGGGGATGTCTAGTTTAATGAAGAGAAGGACGAGGGGGGACAGGATAGCAGTGTTCCAATATCTCAGGGGCTGCCCCAAAGAAGAGGGAGTCAAGCTCTTCTCCAAGGCGCCTGAAGGCAGGACAAGAAGCAACGGATGGAAACTCATCAAGGAGAGAAGCAACCTGGAACTAAGGAGAAACTTCCTGACAGTTAGAACATTTAACCAGTGGAACAACCTGCCTCCAGAAGCTCTGAATGCTCCAACACTGGAAGTCTTTAAGAAGAAACTGGACAGCCATTTGTCCGAAATGGTATAGGGTTTCCTGCCTGAGCAGGGGGTTGGACTAAATGACCTTCAAGGTCCCTTTCAACTATACCATTATTATTATCATCATTAGAGGTTTTTAAGGACAGACTGGACAACCATTTGTACAGCATGGTATAGGGTTCCCTGCTTGAGCAGGGGGTTGGACTAGAGCAGAGCCCCCCCCCAACCTTTTGGGCACCAGGGACCGGTTCCGTGGAGAGGTTTTTCCGCGGACCGGAAGGTGCGTGGTTTTGTGTGCTGCCTGCATCCCGCGGATGGGGCTTTGCTTGTTTGTGTGGATCAGCTGCTGGCATGCCGTGGCCCGGTACCGGTCCATGGACTGGGGGTTGCAGACCCTTGGACTAGATGACCTCCAAGGTCCCTTCCAATCCAATTATACTATTTTCTTCAGTAAGCCTTCATCCTGTGTTCTCCAAAGCACCTGAAGGCAGGACCAGAAGCAACGGATGGAAACCAATCAAGAACAATTAACCAGTGGAACTGCTTGCCACCAGACGTTGTGGGTGCCCCATCACTGGAGGTTTTTAAGAAGAGACTGGACAGCCATCTGTCTGAAAGGGTACTATAGGGCTTCCTGCCCGAGCAGGGGGTTGGACTAGAAGACCTCCGAGGTCCTTTCCAAGTCGGTTATTCTGTTACCTGCATCAATTAACCAGTGGAACTACTTGCCTCCAGATGTTACGGATGCTCCATCATTGGAGCTTTTCAAGGAAGACTGGACGGCCGCTTGTCTGAGATGGTAGAGGGTCTCCTTCTACTTTCTGGAGACCTCCTATCATCTCCTTATTCTTACATTCCTTTGATCAGTGGACCCCAACCTTTTGGGCACCAGGGACCGGTTCCATGGAGAAAGGTTTTCCCGCGAAAACAGCTTCACCTGCTGCCTGCATCCCGCAGGTGGGACTTCGCTTGCTTGCGCAGAGCAGTTTCTGCCACTGCTGCGGACCGGTGTCGGTCCACGGACCGGGGGTTTGCATTAGATCAAACAGTCTTCCGGAGGGCAAACAGGAGCACCAGGGTCTTCTAGCTTACCAGTTGTGTGGCCGTGCGGAAAGCCCGGATGATGATCTGGGGGTGAAGGCCTTCCTCCACATAGGGCTTGATTTGCTTTAAGAATTCGGCCGCCAGGAGAGTCACCGACGTGGTGCCGTCCCCGACCTGGGAAGGAAAGGTCTCGGAATAAGAGGAAGGGCTTTCCTGGGTCAGCTGAGCAGCGAAACTCCCACTTTTCTTCCTCTGAAGACAGGGGTCTTCCAAACGTGGCCCTTTGATGACTTGTGGACTTCAACTCCCAGAATTCCTTGGCCAGTGTGCCTGGCTAAGGAATTCTGGGAGTTGAAGTCCACTCCTCTTAAAGTCTATATCCGGGGTCTTCAAACCTGGCCCTTTGATGACTTGTGGACGTCAACTCCCAGAATTCCTCAGCCAGGCACGCTGGCTAAGGAATTCTGGGAGTTGAGGTCCACTCCTCTTAAAGTTTATAGCAGGGGTCTTCAAACTTGGCCCTTGGATGACTTGTGGACTTCAACTCTCAGAATTCCTCAGCCAGGCACGCGTGCCTGGCTGAGGAATTCTGGGAGTTGTAGTCCACAAGTCATCCAAGGGCCAAGTTTGAAGACCCCTGCTTGGGCGGGACAGAAAATGGGAGTGTTGTGTCCCAGCCTATATGAGTCCTTGTTAACTCACCAGGACAAACCCCTTTTAATGAGTAGGCTGGCAATGCAGGAAAAAACAACCCCTTTTATTAATTAGCTACAGATTTGCAAAATGTCCCAACAGCCAAGACAAACCAAACACGATTCAAACGGAGAATTGTTCACAAGCAAGGCAAACAGAATCTGATTCCATGAAACTTGAGTCCTTTGCAATCGGTTGCCTTTAGCAACCAGCACCGCCCACACCTTCCCTTTTTATTCTGCAATGCCAAGGCGTGGCTTCTCAATGCCTTCTCCTCCTGCCTTGGAGTCGCCCCATGGCCTCCCTCTGTCCTGCTCTGGTTGCCTGTCTGCGTTTGCCAGCGTCTGTGATGTCTTCCAGCTGTGAGTCCTCAGGGTGACTCGGCTTCCCAGCACAGCTGGGTCTCAGCCTGAGCACCACTCCTGAAGCTCATCAGAGCCTTCCTCCTCCTCTAATGGCTCTCCAGGCCCCTCTTCCTCCTCCTCCTGATTCCCGGGACTCAGCTGCCGGGTCCACTGGCCGGCACGGAATCACAACAGGGGGTCTCTCCACTGTCTCTGCATGGGGCACTTCCTTCACTTTGCAGAGGCCTTGGGGAACCCCCTGGAATGCCCCCCCTCCACTTCTCTCAAAGGTGCTGTTCAAAAGGCTACTGGACTTTGTTAAGTACTGAAATGAATGAGATTTATTGACTAATTTGTTATTTACATGAGTATATGGAAAGTTGTTTAATAATAGAGTAATTAGTAAGATTTAATATGTAAACCCGGACTGCTAGACTTGCTGAAGCGATGTTATTTTGTGGGATTAATCCCACTTTTGTGTTACCCCTTTCCCCTGGTCTAGCCTTTTTGTATGTTTCCCGTTGTCTTATCCTTTTTGACCCTATCCCTTTATTACCTCTATAAAACTCAATAAAAATATTAAAAAAAAAGGCTACTGGACTTTGTTGGGGTTTCCCCCCCCCCCGAAAACATTCCGCTTCTTGGAGGAGAAGCAAAATGTTTTCTCCTTCTTCTTCCTCCACAAGGAAAAAAAAAAAAAGAAAACCAAAAAACAGCCCAGTTGCCTTTTGAAGAAAAAGCACCTTTGGGACAACAGATGACGGAGAACCTGCATAGACACCCACCCACCCACCCCTCAGTTGTGTGTCCCCTTTCCCCCAAGCCCACCTCTGCATCCTGGGACTTGGCAATGTCCACCAGTGTCTTCGCAGCAGGATGGACCACATCGAGAAGCTTCAGGATGGTGGCGCCATCATTGGAAATGGTCGCTTTGCCTGCAAAGATAGACAGTTGTTGGGACTCCGGAAAGAGGGCAGAGAAGAGCAACAAAGATGATCAGGGGACTGGAGGCTAAAACATATAAGGAACAGTTGCTGGAATTGGGTATGTCTAGTTTAACGAAGAGAAGGACCAGGGGGGACATGATAGCAGTGTTCCAATATCTCAGGGGCTGCCCCAAAGAAGAGGGAGTCAAGCTGTTCTCCAAAGTGCCTGAAGGCAGGACAAGAAGCAACGGATGGAAACTAATCAAGGAGAGAAGCAACCTAGAACTAAGTAAGTAAGTAAGTAAGTAAGTAACGAAGGAAGGAAGGAAGGAAGGAAGGAAGGAAGGAAGGAAGGAAGGAAGGAAGGTCCACTGTTTTCCAAAGCCCCTGAAGGCAGGACAAGAAGCAACAGATGGAAACTAATTAAGGAGAAATCCAGCCTAGAACTAAGGAGAAACTTCCTGACAGTGAGAACAATTAACCAGTGGAACCACCTGCCTCCAGAAGTGGTGAATACTCCCACACTGGAAGTTTCTAAGAAGAGACTGGACAGCCATTTGTCTGAAATGGTGTAGGGTTTCCTGCCTGAGCAGGGGGTTGGACTAGATGACCCCCTAAGGTCCCTTCCAACTTTATTATTATTATTATGATGATGATGTTGCCAGATGTGTATACGGAAGAATGTACTGGGACATTTGAGCAAAATCCGAACAACGAAAGAGGAGCCTGTCAGGATGAGACCCATGTAGTCCGACTCACGTAGGTCCACAAGGCTTAAAACCCGCCCCATAGGGAAACTCCTGACCTCCTGGCAATGGTGGGTTCCCTGTCAGCACCAGCCTCACCTCTGTCGTCCACAATGAGTTTGTCCATGCCCCGGGGGCCCAGCGTAGTCCGGACGGCTTCCGCAATCACTTGGCAAGCGCTGATGTTACTAACCAGCTGCGGGATGCCTTGGGAAGTGTCCGTCCCTTCCTTCAACAGGATAACAGGTGTGGGCTGCAGGTAAAACAAGGTTGGGTCACAGGTCAGGGATCGGAGCAACACATTTGATTGCACGCACAAGGAAATTGTTATCCAGTTATTTCTGGCATGGAAAAGGCAGAAAGCTGAAGAGTAGAGTAATGATAAGAATAGAATAATGATAATGGAATAGAATATAGAGTAATGTTAAGAATAGAATAGAATGATAAGAACAGAACAGAGTAATGATAAGAATAGAGTAGAATATAGAACAGAATAGAATATAGAATATATAAAAGAATAGAGATAGGATAGAATGATAGAATAATAAGAATAGAATAAGAATAGAATGAATAGAATAAAATAGAATAATGATAGAATAAGAATAGAATAAGAATAGAAGGATAGAATAGAATAATGATAGAATAATAGAATAATAGAATGATAGAATATAGAATAGAATAATGATAGAATAGAATAGGAATAATGAATAGAATATAGAACAGAATAGAATATAGAATAGAGTAGATAATAGAATAGAATATAGAGTAATCCTAAGAATAGAATAATGATAAGAATAGAATATAATATAGAACAGAATAGAAAGTAGAAAGTAGAGAATAGAAAATAGAGAACAGAACAGAACAGGAGCTGGAAGGGACTTTGGAGGTCAGCTAGTCCAGCCCCCTGCTCAGGCAGCTTGGTAAAAACAACAGTGATATCTTAAGCCGGATGTACACATAGTCCTCAACTTACGGCCACAACGGAGCCTCAAATACCTGTTGCCCAAGTGAAACATTTGCTAAGCGCGTTTTGCCCCGTCTGACCATCTTTCTTGCCGGTCGCTAAGCGAACCAATGCAGTTGTTCAATGAACCACAGGCTGGTTAAGTGAACATGGCTTCCCCATCATCAACACTGAGTCAGTTGCCAAGGGTCTGAATTCGGATCGCCTGACGAGATGAGGATGCCGCCAACGGCCGCAAGCGTGAAAGGCGGCCCCGAGTCCCCTTTTTCCAGGGCCCTTGCGACTTTGAACGGTCACTAAATGAACCCGTTGCAATGTCGAGGACTGCCTGGATTGTGTTTATCTACTGTTGAAAGCAGCCCAGGCAGTGAGATGGGGCAGGACATAAATTAAAACTATAAATTAAAACATATCAAGGAGAGAAGCAACCTGGTGGAACTAAGGAGAAACTTCCTGACAGTTAGAACAATTAACCAGTGGAACAACCTGCCACCAGAAGCTGTGGGTGCTCCAACACTGGAAGTTTTTAAGAAAAGACTGGACAGCCATTTGTCTGAAATGGTACAAGGTTTCCTGCCTGAGCAGGGGGTTGGACTAGATGACCTCCAAGGTCCCTTCCAACTTTATTATTATTATTATTATTATTATTATTATTATTATTATTATTATTATTATTATTATTATTATAAAAATTAAAATTTTGCAAATAGGGGAGGGGGCGCTGCCTCTTCTGCACACCCATCCCGTGCATCACAGGATAAGAGGCCTCGTAACGTCTTCACACGTGCACTCGTCCACAATACCTGTAGGTTAGGTCTCGTTTGGGGGGGCAAATGCCCTTTATTCCCTCTGGGACTACACCTCCCACAATGCCTCGCGGCGAGGCAGCCATTCGGCTAACGGAGCCGGCTGCCGCAGAGCATGCCGGGAGTTTTAGTCTCCGGGGTTCCAGCCCTGACCGCGTGCAGCCCGTTGGGCTTTAAGCTCCGGCTCGAGGGAGGCCTTTGTACGTTACAGGAGCGCAGCCGCAGTCGGCCTCCCGCCCACCGGCGACCCATCCCGGCTTCCCATCAATACCGGCTCCTTCTCGCCGAGAAGCCTCTCCCGAGGAGGAGAAGGCCACCCGCGAGGAGAACGACGCCCGCCCCGCGGCGGATGGCGGCGGATAAACGCGGCTCCGCCACCGCTTTCCCCCTCACTCACCATCATCTTGGCGGCGGCCCTGGTTAAACGCTCCCTCCCCCAGGATGCACCGCGGTCGCCTAGAAACTTCGCCGGGGCCGGGCCAAAGGAAAGGGCGGGGCTGCAAGGGGAAGTACGGCGCGAGCCTCATAGAGAGAAGAAAAAGGAAGAGTCCTCCTCCCGCGGGCGCTTCGGAGTTCATATTTAAACCTTTTTTTTTCCCCTTCCTTTCCAGGCATATTTTTTTTTCTTTTTTACAATAAAGGAGAAATTTAATTATTCTTGAAAATAGTGGGGATTTTTGGCCGAGGCGGTAGCAAAAGGGTGGCTTGCATTAATCCGTTATGCGCTTGGGCGTGGTTTCTCAATGTCAGCATCTTTGAAACGGGCAGACTACAACTCCCAGAATTCCCCAGCCAGCTTGCTTAGGGTTTTTAGAGCAGGGTTTCTTAAACTTTTTGCTTTCGTGACCCTTTCCCTTTGATAAAAATGAGGGGGGACCCTCCAAGGAGTTTTTCTTTGTAGGGGTTGTATTTATCGATAGTTACCCTATTAAAAATTAAAACGGAGGCGTTTGGGAGAATGCTTGTGGATTGAACCAGGTATAAAAAATAACACTATTCAACCCATGGGATGTATACATAGTTTTCATCAAAATCCCAATTGATTTAAAATTGATCTCTTTTTTAAAATATTTACCTATTCATTCATTTATATGCTGCCCAGAGTAAGAGGGGCGGCGTATACAGTAAATGTTTTTTAATAGCTAAAATAGAACAAGAAGAGTGGAGTCCTGCCGTTATCTATATTCTCTTCCAGTCTTCTTTTAAGATTTGTTTGTTGTCTATGATCGATGCAGCCATCCATCCACTCTCTCTCTCTCTCTACCTACTTAGCATCCATCCACTATGTGTCAATGCAAAAACATCTGGGCCAAAGGAAAGGCAGGGCTGTCTGTCTACCTACTTACCATCCTTTCTGTCTATCATTCTATTCTATTCTATCTTATCATTATTCTATTCTATTCTTGTCATTATTCTATTTCCCATTCTATAACCCTATTCTATTTTTCTATTCTATTCTAAATTTCTATTCTATCATTATTCTATTCTATTCTATCATTATTCTATTATATTCATTCTTTCCTACTGTTATTTCTATTCTATTCTATTCTTGTCATTATTCTATTCTATTTTCCTATTCTATAACCCTATTCTATTTTTCTATTCTATTCTAAATTTCTATTCTATCCTATCATTATTCTATTCTAATCTAATCTATCATTATTCTATTCTATTCATTCTTTCCTACTGTTATTTCTATTTTATCTTCTCATTATTCTATTCTATTCTTGTCATTATTCTATTCTATTTTCCTATTCTATTCTAATTTTTTATTCTATTCTATCATTATTCTATTCTATTCTAATCTATCATTTTTCTATTCCATTCTATTCATTCTTTCCTACTGTTATTTCTATTCTATTCTATTCTATCTTATCATTATTCTATTCTATTCTTGTCATTATTCTATTCTATTTTCCTATTCTATTCTAAATTTCTATTCTATTCTATTATTATTCTATTCTATTCCAATCCATTCTAATCTATTCTATCATTATTCTATTCTATTCATTCTTTCCTATTGTTATTTCTATTCTATTCTATTCTATCTTATCATTATTCTATTCTATCTTATCATTATCCTATTCTATTCTTGTCATTATTCTATTCTATTTTCCTATTCTCTAACCCTATTTTTCTATTCTATTCTAAATTTCTATTCTATTCTATTCTATTCATTCTTTCCTACTGTTATTTCTATTCTATTCTATTGTTTTGCCATTCTATTCTATTCTATTCTATTCTATTCTATTCTATTCTATTCTATTCTATTCTATTCTATTCCATTGGAATAGGCTGCATATTTTGGATTATATTTTGCATTTCAGCAAGAAAAAAAAATAATCCGCCTTCCGCTCTCCTCGGAGGCGGACGGTAAACCCCAAAGAGACAAAGCAGCGGAGGATGCCTTCAACCGCCCGCCTCGGCTCCACCCACACCTTCGCCTCCTCCAATCGGAGGAGTGGGTGGGCGGGGCCCCGCCGCAGCTGCTGCTAGCTGCCGGCGCGCCGCGGCCCGAGGACGGCAGGCAGCGCCGGGCAGGCAGCGCTCGGCTGGCGGACGGGCGGGCTCCCCCCGCGATGTCCCCCGCCTGGTTTGCCCTGCTCCTCCTCCTCTTCTGCCCGGCTGGTCACGGTGAGGAGCCGCCTCTTGGCCCCGTCGCGGTGCAGCCCCCACCGGGGTGCCTGGCTGCCTGCCTGGCTGGCTTGCGATCGGGTGCGCACGTCTGCATGCGGGGATGCGGGTGGGCTGCGTGTCTGTTTCATAAGCGTCGTGGGGGCGAGGATGCGTGCATCTACAACAGTGTTTCTCAACCTTGACCATTTTCAGGCATGTGGACTTCAACTCCCAGAATTCCACAGCCAGCCTTGCTGGCTGTGGAATTCTGGGAGTTGAAGTCCACATGCCTGAAAATGGTCAAGGTTGAGAAACACGGATCTACAAGAAGCAGGATTTAAGTCAGGGGTAGGCAGCCTTGGCTCTTTTCCGACTCGTGGACTTCAACTCCCAGAATTCCTGAGCCAGCATGGGGAACTATGGCCCCTTCATGACTGGTGGACTTCAACTCCCAGAATTCCCGAGCCAGCCATGCTGAGGGGAAAGGGAGAGGTTTCCAAGCTGAGCCATGCCGGCTCAGGAATTCTGGGAGTTGAAGTCCACGAGTCATAAAAGAGCCAAGGTTGCCTACCACTGGTTTGGGGCCATTCTAGACAACAGAAGGACCGGGGTGGGGGTGGGGTGGGGGGTCGTGAAAGCAGTCTTCCAGGATTGGGGGGACTGCCCCAAAGGAGAGGTGAGGGGGGTCCACCTCTTCTCCAAAGCCCCGGAAGGACAAGAAGCAACAGGGATGGAGACTGATCCAGGAGAGAAGCAGCCTGGAATTCAGTGACAGTGAGAACAATTCATCAGAGGAACGACTTGCCACCAGAAGTTGTGGATGCTCCAACACTGGAAGTTTTCACGAAGAGATTGGACAGCACGCTGGCTGAGGAACTCTGGGAGTTGAAGTCCATTCCTCTTAAAGTCTATATCAGGGGTCTTTCAAACTTGGCCCTTGGATGACTTGTGGACTTCAACTCCCAGAATTCCTCAGCCAGGCACGCTGGCTGAGGAATTCTGGGAGTTGAAGTCCACTCCTCTTAAAGTCTATATCAGGGGTCTTCCAAACTTGGCCCTTGGATGACTTGTGGACTTCAACTCCCAGAATTCCTCAGCCAGGCACGCTGGCTGAGGAATTCTGGGAGTTGAAGTCCACAAGTCATCCAAGGGCCAAGTTGGAAGACCCCTGATCTACCCATCAAATTGCTGTATTTGATTCTAATTTCCTTTTTAAACTGCATTGCATCCCAATTTCATTTTAAGTGGTATTTTATCTCTAGTTCACTTTAAATTGTATTTTAACCAATCCCGTTTTAAATTGTTTCTACTGCATGTTAGTAAGAACGCGTGTTTGGAACGCTGCACCTCGATATGGCCCATGGGCTAATCAATAAAGTAAATTAAATTAAATCACATTCAATAGGTGTGTCCTTGCAGGCACCCACCCACCCAAACCAGGATTCCAAGTTAAGTGCAGGCTGCCATCTGCGTGGCGTGTTTCTTCCTTGCATTACGACAGAGATGTCCACGGCGTAGGCGGCTTCTCGCCTCGTCTATTCTTAACTCTTAGCTCTTGGCACCTGCGATGCGCCATGTTGCCAAGTTGCCGGTTGCCTTGGAAAGTAACCACGGGCCTGTCTTTTTCTCCCCTCCCTGGTCACATCTCAGCCCACCATCCAGTGGTAGAACATAGAACGACAGCGTTGGAAGGGGCCTTGGAGGTCACCTAGTCCAACCCCCTGCAGAAGCAGGAGAGTCTGGACAAAGGGCCGTCCAGTTTCTTCTTGAAAACCTCCAGTGTTGGAGCATCCACAACTTCCGGTGGCAAGTCGTTCCACTGGTTGATTGTCCTCACTGTCAGGAAGTTTCTCCTTAGTTCCAGGCTGCTCCTCTCCTTGATGAATTTGCATCCGTTGCTTCTTGTCCTGCCTTCTTCAGGGGCTTTGGAGAAGAGGTGGACCCCTCTTCCTTGTGGCAAACTCTTGTGTGATGCTGATTTTTTATTATTTGTTTATTTGTTAAAATTATTTGTTGCCCATCTTGCTGTGGGGCCACTCTGAGTGACTTAAGAGAGAGGGAGGGAGGGAGGGAGGGAGAGAGGGAAAGAGACAGGGAGGGGGAGAGAGGGAGAAGGGAGAGAGAGGGGGAGAGGGAGAGATAGAGGGGGAGAGGGAAAGATGGATAGAGACGGAGAGATAGAAGGAGAGAGGAGAGGGGAGAAAGAGAGAGAGAAGGAGAGAGGGAGAGACGGAGGGGAGAGGGGGAGAGGGAGGGGGAGAGGGAGAAAGGGAGAGGGGGAGAGAGAAGAAGAGAGGGAGGGAGAGAGGATAGATGAAGAGACAGGGAGAGATAGGAGAGGAGAGAGGGAGGGAGGGAGGGAGAAAAAGAGAGGAGAGACGGAGGGAGAGACGGAGGGGAGAGAGGGGGAGAGAGAAGGAGGGAGGGACAGAGGGAAGGGAGAGAGGGAGAGAGAGAAGGATAGATGGAGAGACAGGGAGAGATAGAAGGAGAGAAGAGAGGGAGGGAGAGACGGGGAGAGAGGAGAGAGTGAGGGGAGAGAGGGAGAAAGGGAGAGAGGAGGCAGGGAGACAGGGAGGGGAGAGGGGGAG